TACTGAAATGGTTCCGATGCGAACCGCCTTCCAGAAACAAACAATAACGACCGAATCAAAGAACGACCCACCTCCTCCGTCTTAAATTGAGAAAACGGCAGCACGGGCTCAGAGAAGCCTCGCCTCGGGAGTGAAAGTTCATCTGCCGTTAGCGCCCGTATATTCTGTCGGTGGAGTCGAGATTGATGCCGTCGCTGCCTTACGTAACCTGCCTCGGCTTCTAGCGGTTTGCCCAGGCTGGCCTCGATTTCCGGGCATATGAATGGCCGACCCTGATGAGTCAGCACTTCGCCAATCTGCAGCATCTCGGGATATTATCATCGTTCCTAGTCGACCCGATTGGACTCGGCAGCATTCACTTCCACGGAACCAGGGGGCCAACACAATGTACCGGCAGAGCCATGTCAACTGGTCGTAAGGACGCCTCCGCTGCGGCCGTCCTGCCTCCGGGGACTGACCCAGCGGCTCACCTCTCAGACCGTCCCCCACGGAGCAACGCCGCCACAGCTGCCTCTGCTGCCTCCGTCCGAGCCTTGAGTGCTCAGCTCGTAGCTTTCTACTTCCGTGCGCCGGCCAAGGCCTTCTTCCGTACGCGGGTGGACTATCTGGCCTATGCTCGGACTGTCCATCAGGCCCATATCGAAGGGCTGAGGAAGACCATCACCGGGGATGCCAACGCCTCGCGGCTGCAGGTCTTCCTAAAGGAAGCGTGGCTGTTACTTCGTGGGACAACGCCTGGGGTGTTGACTACCGCCATTAGACATCAGGGATGGAGTGTCATTCCGCAGCAGATTCTCCCGCCGCTTATTGCGAATGTGGGCGTTGGTGCGGTTCTCTACACCAGCTACCTTCAGATTCTTGGCCAGCTTCACGAGGAGAGCGCCCAAGCACGCAAGAGGGTGTATCCGCCTCCTGACCCCTCTCACACTTTCACGGCGGGTCTACTAGCTGGCAGTATTCAGAGCGTTATTGCAGCGCCCCTGGATGCGTTACAAGCACGTTTCGATCATCGGGACATGATGCCAAATGACGGGAGCAACAGGCCTCGTAGCATGTGGAGTTTCGGTTCCGAGAAACTCAGGGAGATCGGCTTGCGTGGCATATTTGCCGGATGGGGGCTCTCCCTAGCAAAAGACGGCCTGGGGAGTGCCATCTTCTTTAGCACATTCGAGTATGTCAAGGCCCAGGGATACTACCGCTTCGTGACCTGGTACTACGGCGGTCTCGCGGAGGACACTGTGGATCTCTTAGCCACCAAGCGTCCGACCCGTTCGCGTGAGAACGAAACGACAACCATCATCCGACCGCATTATGCTCTGGAGCCTACGTTCCTACTTCTTGCGGGCTCATGCGCATCGCTGTCGCAGCAAGTCCTCCTCCATCCGCTCACCCACTTCCAAGTCAAACACTGGGACCACCTCGAGGACCTGGATGCCAAGGCGGCGCGTTTCCGAGCCTCTCGAGCCGCGAACCCGGACAAGCCATGGCGTCGATGGCGGATGCTCCGCGCGTACTACCACGCCTACCAAGAAACATGGGCCGTCTGCGGCGCCGAAGCCAAGACCGAGGGCCTGGGCATCGTGAAATGGTTGTACCGCGGGTTCTGGTGGAACGCCATCCGACAAGTCCCCAGCACCAGCGCCGGGCTGATCATCTTTGAGCTGATTAGACGAAAGTACGGATTCGGCTCCGAGGAAGTGAGGATTACCAAGGACGGATACGACATTTTACTGCATTAGAATCACATATTTTGGATACACTTCTATATAGGAAGGTGTGGCGAAGGCGTCTGGAGATTAGGGATAGATACTTTTGCTTTTTTTGGCGGCAACATTATTAGGAGCAACACATCGCCACTTTGGGTCAGGTTTAGAATGACTTTGTATTTTTGGCCTGTTAGATAGATGGACACAGGCATCAATAGCCTCTCTGGAAAGATACATCATCTCATACATTTCTTGTTCAGTCCAGGATATAGAGCAGTGTTCAAATAGAGGATGGGGGTGGTATTGCTGGTAACCTCTCCCACTCTCTTATGGTTCCTCATCCTAGACCAAGGTTAGTATTGTGCGATATATCGCATGCCCCGGCAACCCGGATACAAGTACGTGCTAAATTTGTTGAACCATAATATATTGGTACAGTCTCAATAAGTCTATGAATATGAGGCCAAGGAACAATTATATGCTGACAAACGAAATAGAGAGAAAGTCAAGACACTGTAAAACAACCAGTTGCTCCAAAGAACGCCCAAGTCAAACTAACTCCAAAATACCCGTCACTCAATCACTGCCCAGGCTTCTCGTCAGCCTTGGCAAGCCTCTCCTTTTCGTCAGCAAGAGACGAAGCATACAGCTCCTCGTCCTTATCCGAGTACGCGGGGACCTGCTCCCTCTCATCAGTGTCAGTGACCCTGACCGCGGGCATAATGGCCTGCTTCTCGTCCATGATAGGCATATCCCGAGCAGGAGGGGGAACAGCGGCCCCCTCCTCCACAACGCTGGGAGCGTACCTCCTCCCATCCTCCAGGGCCTTGAGCACCTCGAAGAGAGGTCGGGATCCCATGGGCCACGCCACATCGCCCTGCAGGATCCTCTGCGCCGTGATCCCCCGCTCATCATAAAAGACGGCATTGGCATCCGCCCGGCTCACGATCACAGTACCGTCGACCTGCACGCCCGCCCAGATGCCACGGCTCTTGATGTAGCTCCACGCCGGCCGGCCGGGGCTCGTCACCGCGGCGTTGACGGCGCTGCCGCTGCCCACGGGGCCGAGCGAGACGCCGAGGTTGCCGCCCAGCGCCACCTGGGGCTTAGTGAAGGCGGCGACCTGGGCGGGCGTGTTGAGGACGCACACGCAGTCGTAGACGTCGAGGCCGAACATGAAGCCCGCGCCGACGGTGGTGACGAGGAAGGCCGAGGGGGGCGACCAGGTGCCGTCGGGCCTGCGGGCGGTGACGAGGCCCGAGCCGCCGGCGATGGAGCCGTGCCAGGCGCCGACGCGGGCGGTGTTGAAGATGGCGAGGCCGGCGCAGCTGTGGAGGACCTTGGGGGGGATCTTGACCATGGACTTGCGGGTCAGGCCGGTCGGGTGCTTGGGGCCGTTGGAGTTGGGTGGTCGTGAGGAGCTGTCGAGGTCTGGGAGATTGAGCGTTAGTCAAAGTGTTGTCATATAGCTTTGTTTTCAAGGGTTTTGGGGGGAACAGAACATACTTGTGAAGGAGTGGAGGATTCGAGCGGCCTTGACGCACTCATCTTCGACGGATGTGGGCCACCAGCCCTCGGAGCCGATGATGTTGGTGAGCTTGTTGACGGGCTTCCCAGTTGCGATGGTGATCTTGTGCAGACGCTCCCGGAGAGTTCGTCGCTTTGCCATGTCCTTCTCCGGGATAGGCTGGGGCTCTTGGGCTGCGTACATGGCGGGGTCGTCGGAGTAGGCAGGAGGTTGTCTCTCTTGATTCTGCGATGGCTGGTCTTCGGTATAGACTGGGGTGTCCCCTCGGTTGTCCTCTCGGTTGTCTGACCCGGCCTTGTCGGAGGTGGGCTTGTCGGTGTAGTAGACGGTGGCAGTCATGGTGGTTGGTTTGTTTAGTTTAAGGTGTGTGTAGTATCAGGGTAGAGAGGTAAGTGTATGAGTAAGAGAGGATGAAGGCTGGTTGATATGAAGAATGGAGGAATTTAGATGACGAATCTACAAAGTTGTTATATAGATATATATCATCCCGGCGGAAGAGGCGCATTGATGAGGCACTGCACCACACTAGCTAACCCATCCATGGGAAGATGGGCACCTGGATAGATCTCGCCTCGCATTCGGACCATCCTCCTCTTCACATGCCGCGCTGTTGACGCAAGCATTATGCCTCTGCCGCGTGCGCATTTGCCCCAACCGGAGGCGACTCGCGCGGTGTGGACGAGAATCTGTCGCGGCAGAGTGGCGCAGCTCCCGCACCACACACCATAAACCATGCACCAGGTAACGACATGTTAACCTTGAATCCAAAGCGAGCCTTGTGGGGAAAGGGACAACTTCCTGCCGAGAACTGGACAGGGAATTATTAATCCTACTACCTAGACCCTGGATGGTTGTAGGTAGCAATGTCTTCATAGCCCTGTGGATGGGTGATATACACTGTGGATGATGCCCCAGACTCACGATAAAAATACCCACGGTTTCCTGATTGGGCAATGAATGCGCCAGGGGCATTGGCCTGTCCCGAATTGCGTAAGAATCGACTTGCATCGCCGGCTGTAGATCCCGGCTCGATGCAGCCCTGCCACGCCGAGCCCGAGGCGAAAGAGCAGCGAACCTGCAGCGAGATGAGATGCAACCTTAGAGAGCACTAGAAGATTTGTTTCTATTTTCAACGTTTCAAAGAGTATTCCACAAAGGGCTTCTTGGCATGTTTTGATAACAACTCTACATGAAGTGTGAAACTCCGTGTCTCACATACCCATGATTGAGTTTATAACGATCCGTACCATTTGTCTAGGTCCTCGCGCGGCTCCTATAATTATCTCAATGAACAGAACAAGTATTAAACCAGTATTTGCTCACGGCTGATATGTTTATTTTAAGCAAATCACTCGGATAAAATAAAATGAAATGAGCATATTCATCACGAGGAATTATCCAACTTGTTGAACGACATATCTACTATAGGGTAGCGTGGGGCACCTGGACACAGCTGCGTCATCACTTGCCCTTGCGAGCTTCCAAATGCTCCCGGAGCTCCCACCTCACACCATCTTTCGCGAGACATCGCAATACGTGCTGCTGCCGTGAAGCCTCACCGTCTTCTTTCATACCTGTACTAGAAACAGCCGCGATCCATTCCATCTCCAATTCCACGCCTGCTGCTTGACTTTTCGCTTTGAAATTCCGGTGATTCCTTTTTGATACTTCGATCGCGTCGCAAAGCAACCATTACTCGCCCAAACTACCCAGCTTCCAGATCCCATCCCTTGACCTGCCAACATCTCCCCCAACCAACCGCAGCAATGTCCGAGTCCAACGGTATCCGCGGCACCGTCACCGACACTGCCGCCGGAGCCTACTCATACGCCCAGCGCTCCTTCGACCGTGTCATCGCACCGGCCTCCCGCCAGCAAGCCTACGACCAAGTCCAGACATTCGCTCACGCTCGTCCCATCCTCTTCGTACGCGCCCCCATTCTCTCCATCATAATTGCCCCCCTCCAGTCGTAAAGAAAGAGAAGTGAACCCGCTTTGCTAATACGCGCGACCCCTCCAGTCCGCCCTCGTCGCACAAGTAGTCTTCTGCTCCACCCCCATCCTCATCTTCTCCGCCTTCGTCTTCTCGACATCCGTCTTCGCCTTCGGCCTCGCCCTCCTCTTCACCCTCTTCTGGTTCGGCCTCGCCCTCTTCGTCCTCGTCCCCGCCCTCCTCGCCGCCGCGTCCATCGCCCTCCTCGTCTGGGCCTGGGCGCTGGGCTCCTTCCTCGCCGCCAGGTGGCTGTACGTCCAGCTGGTGGGCGGCGAGGCCAAGGCCGTCCGCGTCAAATCCGTCGATGGCGCCGGTGCACCTCGGAGCACAAAATTCTAGGGTATAGTGGGGGAGGGTATGATTCTTTCTACGAAACTGTGTTATAATATTTTACTTGGGAGCCAACGTCAACTTGCAGCGTTGAGAGATTGGCAGGTGTTTTTCGTTATATTTTCTACGACGGTATGATTCAAATTGGACGTGGTGGGATACAGGGTGCCACGGTGTGGGCTTGCTATTGGAACTGGAAGTTATATTATTTCGTTAAATCATCGTTTTTGGGGACCTAGGTTGGAATGGCTCATGGCCAGCTCTATGAAGGAATGAATTGGCACTGGCACTTTACTCCCTTCATCCACACCCATCCTGCAACGATTGAGGCAAAGGGTGGTGGAATATCGATTCTTTTATTCGCTTCCAGTAAACAATTTGACTCGTGACGCATCTGAATCCGCTGCCCAAGGAGCCATGATTATATTTATCTTCCCGTCTAACCTGTATAATAAGTCCACTACAGATACAAGCCTTCGGGCTCGCCCTCCTGCTTCGTGCGCAGAACACGCTCGCGCGCCGATCGGAAATCGGCCATCTGGACGCGCATTCTTCGTTCCCGCAGAGCCAACATACCGGCTTCAGAGCAAATGGCCTTGATGTCTGCACCGGATAGATCGTCCTTTTGCGAGATGAACTCCTCCAGCTCCACATCCTCACTGAGATTCATCTTGGATGTGTGCAGCGTGAAAATCTTGCGCTTTGTGTTCTGGTCGGGATTTTCAAACAGAATCTTTCGGTCGATACGTCCGGGTCGGATCAGTGCAGGGTCCAGGGTCTCGATCTTGTTGGTTGCCATGATGACCTTGACGTCGCCGCGGTCGTCGAAACCGTCGAGCTGGTTGAGCAGTTCAAGCATAGTTCGCTGGACTTCACGCTCACCACCTGACGTCGAATCGTATCGCTTTGTACCGATAGCGTCGATTTCATCGATGAAAACAATAGACGGGGCGTTTTCGCCAGCGACCTGGATGTAAAGTTAGAAAGAAGCTCGTAGCATAGAGATTAGGAGCAGAACATACCTGGAATAGCTGTCGCACCAGCCGTGGACCGTCACCAAGGTACTTCTGAATAAGTTCACTGCCCACAATACGCAAGAATGTGGCAGATGTTTGGTTGGCCACGGCCTTGGCAAGCAGCGTCTTTCCGGTACCTGGCGCACCGTACAGGATAACACCCTTGGGAGGCTTGATTCCCATTTCTTCGTAAAGTTCTGGGTGAAGCAGTGGTAGCTCCACAGATTCTCGGACTTCTTGAATTTGTTGTTCCAGACCTCCAATATCGGCATATGACTCTGTTGGAGCTTTGTCGAGCTTCATCACGCTCACAATCGGATCGGTGTCATCAGTCAGAACACCGACAATGCTGATTATCTTATGATGAAGCAAGACACTGGCACCGGGCTCAAGGAGATCCTTGTCCACGAAGCTCATGATGCTGACGTAGTACTCCGGACCGGTAGTGCTACTAACGATGGCGTGGTCGTCGTCAATCAGCTCCTCCAGCGTTCCAACTCCCATCGGGCTGCCACGCATATCGTCGACTCGGCCGCGCTCATCTGCTAGGCGGTCGTTGTCTGCATCGGCCCCCGAAGTCTGTCCCTCCTTGGCCGCCTTGGCCTTGCGAAGGCGCTCCTGGTTCTCGACGTACTCTTCTTCAAGCAGGAGGTGGTCGTGAATACGCTGCATACGGAGCAGACGGAGCTTGCATCTGCTGCTGGGGTATACGGCGGGGAGCTTCGCTGCAGCGCTGGTGCCGCCAGCCTTCTTCTTCTTGCGGCCGACCCGGGTCGTAGGTCGTGGAGGTGGCTCGTACTTTGGCTTATCCTTCTGTTGGGAGTGTCAGCATCGATCGAATTCCATGCATCGACATCGTGCAGAGTCTTGGCGGAGACGAACCTTCTTGTCCTTATCATCCCGACCATCCTGGCCTCCCATGCCAGACTGTCCTTGACCCTATGATTCGTAATGTCAGTACTTGTAGCCTGGCAATCAACAAGATAGTGGGAAACCAACCATCTTGGCGAGTAAAGCTCCAAGAGCCTGGAGTTTTAGTCGGAAGTCGTCAGTTGGGACACAATGCAATCTAATAGAGTCTGGGTGGTGTGCCCAGGTGAGCAGATTGCAAAGTGATGTTGATGTTGAGTCGAAGCTGGAGTGGGTAACTGAATAGCAGGTAGGCCAGTGCTCCGTCGACGATGATGGAATCAGGCGCCAGGGCGACACGACGACCTACCTTCACATCACGTGACCATGCTTAGTCACAGCCACCTTGACCTCAACACTCTCAAAGTTCATTTCCAGTGGAAACTCAAGTCAGCTCCTTCATACCAGACATCGGGCTGCCCCGATGGGTGAACTGACAACTGGTACGCCTGGATGAAGGCCTCCCCATAAGCGTTGAACTGGTGCAAATAGTACAAAGTACACCCACTGAAATAGCTTCGAAAACGGCTATAGCAAGGGAAGCCCAAAGGCAGGCAATAACGAAATAAAGAAATAAAGAAACAAACACCTTTTTTTTAGTCTCCCTCTCGTTTAGATGTACCTTCTGTCAATTGAGGGCTATGGCTGAGATTTACTGGTCTTGGAGTGGCGTCCGACAGTGACCAGCTTGAGGCTATGATCATGCATCAATCCAGATGTGAAGATTGGAGTTTCTACACATATCCCAAAGTCTTGTAAGAACAATTTCATCAACATGTATACCTTGGTAATCAGAATAGACCCTTCACCTCTGGAATCTCAAATCAACTATTAGCCAGAGCATGGAGAAGACGTTATTTTGTTAACATTGGCGATATACAGCCGCAGCACGAAGCGCGGATCAGGCACACTGCCAATGAGAAAAAGATCGTCAAATCTGATTCTCATGTTTAGATTAAGGTGATCTCCGCAAATCGGAGGGAAGAGCTAGAAACCAAACTGTTTGTAATTATTGACTCCTTGCCAAAGAGTCACTACGATATATCTTGATACATTGTGTCGTCAACTTGTGGCCACAGGACCCAGTGTTCAATATCACCAAGGGCTCCATTATGGCTCGCCCAGCTACTGACATAGACCTCCCAATCGACAGACATACTGAGGGCTGGATAGAAAATTATTACAAACTGGTGGTATCCTTGAAGAACCAAAGCGTGGCAGAGTTGTGAAATGCCACAAGTGGCCGCGCAGGTAAGGTCCCGCTCGACCTTGTGAGTGCCAGGAAAAAATGGGAATCAAGGCAAGCAAAATGCATGAGGGAGAGGATCACAACAAGCTTCATTGCAAAGGAGACAGTATCGTTATGACGCGATAAATGTCACGGAAATAGAGTGTACCGCACATCTATCAAGGGAGAAAAATCACAAACTGAGAGAGTAAGAGATAATGATAACTTTTTGGCTACATGCACAGGACTTCGCTAATAGATACAAAGAATATCGGAAAATAAGTAGAGCAACCAATGTGCCATTAAAACATGCTAATTCGTTCTACTGGCATTTACCACGCAACACCGCGAAAACTGAACGTGACCAACACAGTCTGGTATCCAGCATAAAGTCAAACTAACAATGAAGACGATAAATACATTCCAAGAGTCTCAACAAAAATATGATGCATTTACAGAGCAATCATGGCAGCGCCAGCGCCGAGGGCGACGACGCTGTACAGGGCAACGGCGAGGTTGCCGAAGACGGAGACGCGAGAGATGGAAGTGCTGGCACCGGCACCAGTGCTGTCGCCGGTTGTGGAGGTGCTGGTGGGGTTGGCCAGAGCACCAGTAGCGGTGGCAACCTGGTTGTTGTGGGCGCTGGCGGAGGAAATGGCAGCGTTGCAAGAAGACTCAGAGCTGGCCTTCTTGACGGAAGCCTTGCCCTTGTAGTCGCAGGCGGAAGAAGAGCTCTTCTGGTCCTTGTAGTAAGCACCGAGAAGGTAGGTCAACTTAACCTTGGCATCGCACATGCTGTAAGCACCGTAGACACCGGTGGTGGCGTTGCCGTTGATACCAGCGCAAAGTGAGGGCTTCTCACCGCAGATGTAGCCGAAAATTTCACCGTAGTCCTTCTCGTCGAGGTCATCGGCAGGGCCACACTCCGAGGCAGCTTCGGCACAGTTGCAAAGAGTCTCGTCAGGGGTAGGAGGGAGGTTCTTGTTGGACTTCCAGACATCACCAACGGCAGGGCACTGATCACGGCCAGTGTTGGGGTTGTAGTCCTTCTCCTGGACGCGGGTGGGGTCGACCTTGGCGTGAGCCTTCTTGAGAGCATCGAAATCACCCTGCTTCTCAGCCTTGCCATTCTTGATCTCGACAACACCGTAGTCGTTCTCCTCCTGCTGGTACTTGAAAACGAGACCACCAGAGAAGACACCGGTCATGGCGTCAGAGAAGAGAGCCTCGGTATCAGTGTAGATACGGGTCTTAGCACCACCAGCGTTGCAACCGTACTCAGCGAAGAAGACAGGAACGTTGTAGCTCTTGAAGAACTCAACCCACTTGTCGTAGCCAGACTCCTTCATGCTGCTCTTACCGCACCAAGAGTAAATGTTGTAACCCCAGAAATCGGTAGCCTCGGCATCATCACCACAGTTGAAGTACTCGGCGATTTCATTGCGGATATCGGGGTGGTCATTGGAGGCATAACCAACACCCATGGAGCGGTACTTCTTGTCAACAATGTACTTCTTGGTATCACGGATGGCGGCCTTGACGTAGGCGGAAGCCTCAGTGTTGTTCTTGGCGTCAGAGACTTCGTTACCAGCAAAGAAACCGATGGTGTTCTTGTACTTGGCAAGGGCGTCGATAACATCCTTGTAACGGGTAAAGAGCTCGACGTTCCACTCAGGCTCGTCACGGTTGATGGCGAGAGCAGGCTGAGAAAGATCAGAAATGACGTAGATGCCGGCGTCATCCAGGAGCTTCATGCACTTGTCGTGGTCGACCTTGGGGTCGATGGCGTAAGTTCGAATAGTGTTGACACCAAGCTCTTGCAGGAGGGGAACATCACGCTTGCAGTCGCTCTCGCT